CTGAGATATGCAGACGATATAACTTTGCTTGCTGAAAGTGAGGATGACTTGAGGGTACTTACTGATGAAGCTTGAAGAATACAGTCTGCAGTGTGGATTACATCTCAATATAAAAAAATAAAAATCCTCACAACTGGACCAATGAGCAGTATCACAATAAATGGAGAGAAGATTGAGGTTGTCAAATAATTCACGTTGCTTGGTTCTACGGTCGATGCCAATGGAAGCAGCAGTCAGGACATTAGATGACGTGTAGCATTGGGAAATTCAACCGTGAAGGAACTGTTTCAGGTGCTGAGAAGCAAGGATGTCTCCTTGAGAACTAAGGTGCGCCTGACACAAGCCATGATATTTCCAAGCGCCTCATATGCATGTGAGAGCTGGACAATGAATAAGGAAGACCGAAGAAGAGTAGTTGCTTTTGAGTTGTGGTGCTGGCAGAGAATGCTGAAAGTACCGTGGACTGCTAAAAGAACTAACAGATCTGTCCTGGTCATGTTTGTTAGGGTGGAGGGTCGACGAAAGAGGGGGAGGCCTTCAACGAGATGGATTGACACAGTGGCTGCGATGATGGGCTCAAGTATAGCAGGGATCGTGGAACTGGCATGGGATTGGGCAGTGTTTTGTTCTGTTGTGCATGGGATCACTATGAGTCGGAAGCAACTCAATGGCATCTAACACCACAACAACAATAATAGTAATACCACAAGTGAATGACTTTAACAAACAAGTTATCTTAACAGTTCAGGAAGCTAGAAGTCCAAATTCAGAGGGAAGGCTTTTTCTATCTCTATCAGTTTTAGCGGAAGGTCCTTGGTCTCCTTTCAACATCTGTGGGCTTGGCATTCCTTGGAGATCTCCATGTTTCTTAGCATCAGTATTTCCCTGGGTCTAAGAGGTTCAATACAGGGACTTTGCATCCAAAGTACTTGCTCTGCTCCTGGCTCTTCTTTTCTTGGTAGTAGGAGGCCCCTCTTTCTCTGCTAGGTTTTCTCTCCTGTTTTCTCTTGTGAGACAGAAAGTGATACAGGCTGCACCCCAGGGAAACTCCTCTGGCATCAGATCAGTGTTGTGACCTGAGTAAGGGTGCTGCATCCCTTATGACTGGCTGGTCACATCAGATCACTTAATGGCAAATGAGTAAGTCATTATATAGGTACCAAATTACATCATTGCAAAACTACCAACCCAATGGGAATCATTGCCCATTCAAGTTGACACATATTTTTTAGGGTCACACTTTAGTCTATGACAATAACCATCAGAAGAAAAGTAACATTAATAAGCTATATTATATTATTAGTATTAATAAGCTGATGGGAATGGGGAAATGGAACTATTAAAAAAATGTGATCAACTCGAAGGCATGAAAAAAGAAAAAGGGAACATAGATCATATGGGATAAATGGGGAAATAAATAAATAACAAGATGATAAGATGGTAAAATTAAAGTGAGACTTGCACCTTAATGTAAATATAAGGACATGCCATGGTTGAAATTATAAAGAGGCAGAAAGTAAACTCTAAAAAGTCAAACCAAAGAAGAGCTTGTATGTGCATGGTAATATCAGACAAAGTAGAACGTAAGGCAAAAAGCAATACTAGAGATAAAGAAGAACAATTTATAATGATAGAACTGTCATTGACATGAAAGTTCTAAATTTTTAAGCACCTAATAATGCAATCTGAACATATGAACAAAAATTAACAGAGCTGAAAAGAGAAATAAATTTACAATTAAAACAGATAGTTTTACATAACAATGAAAAAATTTGACTTTGATATATTTAAAACTCTGAGCAGTTATGAAAAGCTTTCTTTTAAAATGGCTTTGGGATACTTCCCCAAATAAACCTTATCTTAGACCATAAAATGAATCTCAACAAATTTTAAAAATCAGTATTTTCTGAGCATGGTGTAGTAAGCTGAAAATCAATAATCTAAATAAAATGAGATGATTCCCAAATGTTTGAAAATTTAGCAATGTGCTTCTAAACAACCCATGAATTAAAAAAATAAACCAAAATGAAATTGCGAAATAAATTATACTGCAAATGTGATGTAACAAAACTTGTGATGTACATAAAGCTAACTTATAGGGAAATTTATAGCCTTAAATGGATATATGAGAAAAGAAAGCAGAAACTCCATCTTAAGAAATTAGAAAAAGAACAACAAATTAACCCCAAAGAAAGTAGAAGGAAGAAAATAATAAAGGTAAAGAAGAAAGTAATGAAACAGAAAATAGACATTCAAAAAAGAAGGCAAAGGATGCTTTGAAAAGACTAACAGTATCAAGAATCTCAGAAAGACTGATAAAAGAGAGAGAAAAGGGGAATGAATTACCAATAAATACCAGGATTGAAAAACAGAGCATCACTGAAAATCTTTCAGAAACTGAAAATATATTGAGAAAATATTGTGAACAATGTCATGTCAATAAATTTGAAAATTTGAAAGAAATGAGCCAATATCCAGGGGAAACAAAATAACCAGAGGAATATAAAAGCAAATACAAGGAGGCGGGGCAAGATGGCGGACTAGGCAGAAGGATTGCACAGACCCTCTTCAACAAAGAAAAGGGAAACCAATTAACACAGACACAGAAG